GATGTTAACTATAAGATTCTAAAGATTCTTATTACATTAATTAAATTAACTTACTGCTGGGAGAAGTACACTTATCTTCCACTGAATGTTACTGAGTGGCAACCATATAGGTTCAGAATAATATTATATTACATTGACAACAGTTCCATTTTCTGACCCTAATTTCAAAGCAATAAAATGAACCTGAATTGTTCTAAAATAAATTGTAGTAAGTTTTAAGTAAATTATAGAACAGCAAGAAGTAGCTTTAGTAACTGATTTCATTATATAGACTGTTTCTTCTTTCTTAATGTAGAGAAGGAAAGTATCAATGAAAACATATATTTCATAATTCCTTAATTGCATTTTCTGTGGAAGTGTTAATTGTCTTTGAGTTTTATCATCTCATAACTGGGCACGTTGATCTATCCCCTTTCTAATCTTCTACGTAATAGGATAGCAGGTAGCTGGGTCAGGTCCTGGAATAAACAAATACCCAGCTTTTTTATTTCCTATAAATCTGTAATTTTCCCAGGCTGACCATCACAGATTCCTTGTTCAGCTGTATTGCTAAATTAGCGCTTTCTTCATTGTTTCAGTCAGCTTTCAGTCTGCATTGCAGTGATTACATGCAGACAAATTTGAATTAATTTTCCAGGTAATATTTTCTCAGGTAGCATCAAAGGGTTTATTAAAATAAAGATGTATTACTTCTGCTTTGCTGCTTTGTTCTTTTATTTTATATAAACCCTCCTAAGGTGTACACAGCTTGTTCTGCTACACAAAAAGCAAGACCATAGTGACCTTAAAGTCAGAGCCATAGTGTTCTGTCAAGAACAATAAATTATTGACATTTTTCACCTGATTACAGGGTATGGAGAAGGATAGTGAGATGTTAGACTTTTACTAGAAACCCTGCCATTTTAATATGAAATGTCTACTCTCAGTAATGTCTGAGGGCAGCATGGTTCTGTATAACTAGTTAAAAGAATATTAAAATACAGACTTATGTATTAAGGAGATAATATATTTGATTATGGGATTAAGTACATTTTATTTTTTTAAATTTCTTTATGTTTTCTAGCGTGTAGTACACAAACACTATACACATGCTATTTGTAGTAATCAAGGGTAAGGAAACTGTGAGTACTAAGAAACTGCTTGAGTGGTTGGCTATCTTAAAACAAATTACTGAAAATATTACAAAGAAGAGGTGTGCTGTCTGAATATGCACAGACAGATTTTAATATTAAGATGAATAGTTGCCGGAGTGGATTAGTATTCTTTACATGTTATAGTACTAAGTGGAGGCATTTGTTTATCTTACAGCAGGAACTTAACCTGGATATTTTTGTAAGCAGCAATTAAAAAACTAAGCTGTTGTCAAATCCCTGTTGTTTTCCTTATGTCCTTAAGAGTTTGCATTAATTTGACATGCTCTCCTTGTGGTAGATCGGAAAGTTTACAATGAGTTATTAGTAGTCACCACTCCAGTAGATAGGTAACAAGTGGAGTTGCTTTACTGGTGGCTGTTAAGCAACATGATTAGAAATAAACACATAAACAATTCTGCAAACCAGTGTGACATTAATTCTGATACATTTAATCACTTGGAAACATGGGTACTTATTAACTACTAACATTTCCATGGGATAAGCGCTCTGTTTGGTTTCTTTCTTTACTTGTTCTCTGAACTGTAAAACGATCTGAAGCCATTATTTCAGAAAATACCTGACATCATTATTTATGAACTATCAAATGCATGGTTCCTTCTGTTTTCCTTCATGCCTAAACAATAGCTAGTGGGAAATTCCCAGCACGTTTAGGACTATGTATAGCTTTGTTATGATAGAAATTGGCCCTAGGTCTCTTGTCATAATATATTGTCTGTTCTTTTGGGGATTTTTTTGGTTCGGTTGTAACATAAGGTGTAAGTTTGTGTTCGGTTCTTTACTAAGGAATCACTAATCAGAAATATCTGTATTCTTACCACAAGTGATAAAATGGGTGTAAGATTGTTGGGGCACTTGATACTAAGCTAATTAAACTCACAGTTAAGTTAGTGGGAGTATGACCCCTAACTTCATTGGATGATGAGTGTTACTGAAGAGCCCATCACTCAAATTTATACTATTAATAAAGTGTGTTTCTTGAAATTTTGTTTAATGTAGCCCCTTTAGATTTTAAATACTGTTTTAATTTAAATTGAATTTTTTCACTTTTGTGTACAGCTTACTTTTTTGTATGTGAAATGCGTAAACATGCATATTTATGATGGGATAACACAAAATTATTTTTTCTAAAAAGCAGATTTTGGCTTTTTAGATTGTGTTCATCTGCTCAATTCTGTCTGGTTCACAAACAAGAGGATTGATTCTGCCTCTAGTTACACCAGTATAGATCAAGAATCATTAATTTAAGTAATAGAATTTGTTCTGCATAAAATATTTAGAAATGACATGTGAAATCTTTCCATGTTTGATGTATTAATCTTGCTTGAAGTTATACTACCCGGGTACTAATGAATGTCTTGAAAAGGTCAATTTAATTCTCTGAAGTGTACATCCTAGGTCTTCCAAAATGGAGACACTGGATTTTCATAAAATTTACTATCTTCTATGATAATTGGGTAGAAGGTTGGACTTGATGATCTTTGAGGTCTCTTCCAACCATAACGATTCTATGATTCTATGATTCTATGATCTGGGAGCACCTGAAGAAAATGCAATAGACGTGTTCTTAAGTAAAGCCAATTTTGTCAAACCTTTCTGTTTTAGTGTATAGTTTGGAAGACTGAGACTTTCCAAGGAGGAAAATAATAGATGAGTCTGACTATGCTAGCATCTCTCAATTCCTTCCATAAATAGTTGAGAATGGATTCAGAGCATGTGCCAAAGTTTAGGTGTGCTTCCCTTCGCCTGTGACCTGGGGCCTCTTTGGTGCATGGATTGCATTCTGACAGTGCAGCACTACTTTTAACTAAAATAAAAAGAAAGCAGTAAGAGGTGGAGAAGTGTTTTCCTCCTTCCTTTAGGATGTGATAAGCTTCCTTGTGTTTCACTTGTAAATTGAAGTACCATTTTTCAAAAGACAATTTGATATGCATGTTAGAAACTGAATTTTAATTCAACGTAATACATGCATACTGTTCTGCTTTTATTACCTTTTACCTACTGTACTTTTAGAGTGATTTTTGCATATTGCCGTTTTATAAAGCAGTTTCTCAGTGGTTTGGCAGTTTAATAGGCATGGATTTTCTTTTCATCCAGTGAAATTTGATGCATCTCTTTTTCTACTATTGTTAAAGTATGCAACACCTCAACAAGTAAAAATATCCACGTGAATTCTGGGTGTTTTTTGGAGGAAAACCTTCTCCTTCCTTATTATTTTATTTAAAGTTAAAACATGTAAATTTTTTATTTTTCTTTGTAAGGAGAATGATTTAACTTTTTTTTTTCCCCCATCACCGTGCACATTTCTTACTGTGTGTCATGGTTTAATGCCAGCTGGCAACTAAGCCCCACCCAGCCGCTCATTCACTCCCCCCGGTGGAACTGGGGAGAGAATTGGAAGAGTAAAAATGAGAAAACCCGTAGGTTGAGATAAAGACAATTTAATAGGTAAAGCAAACAAAGCAAAACAAGGAGTTCATTCCCCACGTCCCATGGGCAGGCAGGTGCTCAGCCACCTCCAGGAAAGCAGGGCTCCATCACGCCTAACGGTGACTTGGGAAGACAAACACCATCGCTCCAAATGTCCCTCCCTTCCTTCTTCTTCCCCCAGCTGTATATGCTGAGCATGATGCCATATGCTATGGGATATCCCTTGGGTTATGGGGATCAGCTGTCCTGGCTGTGTCCCCTCCCAAGTCCTTGGGCACCCCCAGCCTCCTCACTGGTGGGGTGGGGTGAGAGGCAGAAAAGGCTTTGGCTCTGTGTAAGCCCTACTCAGCAGTAACGAAAACATCCCTGTGTTATCAACACTGTTTTCAGCACAAATCCAAAACATAGCCCCATACCAGCTACTGTGAAGAAAATTAACTCTATCCTAGCCAAAACCAGCACACTGTCCCACCGTCACCTAAATCAGACCATAAGACCATGCAACCACCTCTACGTGGATTTGTCTTTTTATCGAAACGTGTCATATGGTAATATGTTACTAAGGATTATTGTCTTTGAACCCCTGAAGGTTTGATTTTCTGTGTCTATATGGTACACTGCCAGACTGAAAGAAATTTAAGAGTTACTACCTAGAGCTCTGTATATTTCCATAGCCATACCAGATTTAGTACCTGTGCTTATTTTGGGAAGGCAGTTCAGCTATTTATTTTTTTTCAGTTAGTGTTCTTCGAACCAATGCAGTATGGAAATAAGAATTGCAAAAATTGCAAACACTGAGAAAGATAAATTATTCTTTAAGAAGTGAAGAGTTTTGTAAGTGTTGACATGTGCTTTTACAGTGTTTGTTGGCATTTCCTCTGAATTCTGTTTTCTTTCTGGTAAACAGGAGGAAAATATTGCATTACAGATCATCTAAACAGAATTCAGCCCTGAGACTGAAACACCTTTATGGAACTGTAGGAAAGGAATTTCTGCACGTAGTAATTAATTACTAGCATTTTTGTTTCTGAATATTAGGGAGAAAAAAGAAACAGTACTCTTAATTAACATTGAATAGTAACTGAATTGTAAAGCCAGCTGGCTCAGCTGTCAGCATATGATAGAACAGTGGGAACTGAACCAGAAAACACTTTTTGAGGTTACTGTAACCTAGAATTCATGGCAATAATTTTAATGGGTGGGTGCTGTTCATCTCTTACTGAAGGGAGGAGGATATGGAGGGAGAAACTCTTAAGAATTTTCCATTATTACTTCTTAATTATATAAACAGTCTAAAAAACTTATTCCAAAGACAGTTCTAGTTTCCTTATATAGAATAAAAGTGTAATCCTGCAGTACTGGAAAATATTCATGTTTCTGGTTAATTCTTTTTAACACATCAATAATTTTCTTTTTCAGGTCGAAAATTTAAAAAGTTTAACAAAATTAAGGTTGTGAGAGCATTAGATGTCGCACTCCAGCAGCCAGCAACCCTTCAAGATGAAGGCCAGTCTATAACCCAAAGGCTGTCCTTTTCTCCAAATCAAGAAGTACAGTTTGTTCCCCCAATGATAAGTGTTTTACGAGGCATTGAGCCAGAAGTTGTCTATGCTGGTTATGACAATACAAAACCTGAAACACCAAGTTCCTTGCTGACCAGTCTAAATCATCTTTGTGAGAGGCAGCTTCTTTGTGTAGTCAAATGGTCTAAATTACTACCAGGTAATAGCACGTCTTATATGTGGTGAATTCTAGTTAAGCAAATGTGCCATAAGATGAGCAGTCAAAAGAGAATATTATTGTCTACCTATTAATTAATTCTTAACAAATTCTAAAATGCTGAAGCTTCCACTTAATCAGATAATATATCTGATCAATACATTTTAGTAGGAGGGCGCTCTTGAAGGAATGCATCTAAATACTTAGACTCACTCCAAAAAACATCAGAAGCCCAGAGTGTTCCTGTATGCGATCATTACAGTAGCCTTCCCACCCCAACCCCTCCTACTCTATTATTCATTCTTTTAGTATAAAAAAAGTTCATATTTCTGCGTATTTTTTTATTCTTACTAAAATGAATTTTTGAGAGCAAGAGAGAAAAATTGTAATAACTAGTACCAGTTAGGACTAAGCAGCTCACAAATCAACTAGTAACAAGAAGTAACTGAATTTATGAAGATCCAAGACTGGATTCCAAAAAACAATCCATGTAATGTATGTATGTGTGCTGTGTGGTTATAGCGGTCTGATCCTGGCATATATGAAAATCAATATATTGAGCAGAAAGCCTGGAAAATACAGTTTCATGTGAGCTTAGTTTCACACTTTGCTGCAGGAAAGGGTAGTCCCTATCACTGCCCTTCTCTGTTGGAGCTTGTGCTTGTCAGACCTCTTGGTTGAACTGATTCATCTCATTAAGTGAGAAGAAAACCGACCTCTTTTTTTTTTTTACCCTCTGTAGTTTTCTGATGGCTTCATGAGCTGAACCAGTTCACTGAGGGGTAGCATGAATGCCAGAGCTTGCTTGAAGGAGGTAGCAGGACCAGGTAATGAAGAACAGGACCACTACTTTCAGTGGCAGGAAGCTGTTAGATTGACTCAGATAACTCACAGCAATCCTTAAAGTCATCAAATAGCAAAAGGCAAATCCACAACTGAATGTGTTTCTCTAGTTAAATGCAAGAAAGATATTCATATGTGGATGTTTATTGTATGACAACGGTATCTGTTGTTAAGAACACTGAAGTCCAAGCTATCTATATTAAATAAGAGTTGGTTACAGCGATCATGTTACAAACTGTCATATTTTTACCAAAGGAAAATGAGATGCATTCCTGTTCCCTGAAATAGTCCCCTTTGACTGATAAAGTTAATTTTGGTTTGATCATTTCAAAATACTGGATCAGAACAAAAAGACAAGAGGTTAACTATCAAAGTGAGGTAGCCAGTTATTATACAAACTTCACAAACTTCTGAGAGCTACATCCCCAAAAGCACATGTCTTTCTAGGTGTTCTCAGCTTTATAGCTCAAAGTTGTAATCTCAGAACACCTACTGAGCTGTTGTCTAAATGAGAATTATAAAGTATTTTAACATCTAATTTCATTTCCAGGATTTCGGAATTTACATATTGATGATCAGATAACCCTCATCCAGTATTCCTGGATGAGTCTAATGGTTTTTGCAATGGGATGGAGATCATACAAACACGTCAGTGGTCAGATGTTGTATTTTGCACCAGATCTGATTCTAAATGAGTAAGTAGACTCTGCTGTTGCATAATATAAATGACGTCTTGAACTTATTTGTGTCAATGAGAATGTGACTTCATTGAGGCCAAGATTTCGTTCATTGCTTGTTCTGTTTCAAAATTAGCAACAGAGGAATGCCCTCTAATCATATTAAAATTCAGTAACTTTGGGAAAGGTTTTGTGGGAATCCCAAATATTCTGTTGACATGGCCAAACAAAAGGAGTTCAAATAATGTTGTAATTATCTAAGAGAAAAATAATTTAAAAAAAAGACTGATGCCATCAGAAGATTTACCTGAGTTCATCTGAATAAGACATGAGTTAATGTTTAATAAATGGAACTAAGTGGGATTTTGTTTGGTCATTGTTGTTCGGGTGGTTTTTGCAAGTAGTTTGTATATTGTCTAAATACTCAGTTTTGACACTTTTTGATAAAACTCTACTTTTCTAAAGTACATTTCTTGTTAGAAAATTGTAATAATTTAGCAAGAAGGTGTTTTAATGTCAAGGATAAAATACCTGAGACTGCTCTTTTCTGGCTTGAGGGGGGGATTGTTGGCTTAGATTTTTCCTTCACTATGCTGATTAATTCAGGTAATCTTCATTTGAGTCTTTGTCAGTTTTTCAGCTCTGCAAATTAATACTGTCAAAGCTGTATTTTAGATACTTTGGTTATAGTACATGGCAGGTTTCCAGGAACAGTAAAACATAATTTAATCTCACTATTTGTTTTTCCTAGTTATTTTTTCTTAAAATCCTAAAAGAACTACTATGAAGTGAGATGGAAGTTAAACAGGTTTTCTTGTAAGATATATCTGTTTAAGAATTAAGAAGTGGATTTGCAGAAGATCTAGGCACCTGAATTTAAAATCTCTAGACATGCAAGCTCTTGCCAGTTAAGTTCTTTATAGAAAGTATTCAGTGGACCAAGCCCTGAAGCTCCTGACATTTTCCTTTCCAGATGACTGTAAATCACTGTGAGGTTATAGCTTAATGAATTGTTTCCTCTCCCATGTGTATTAACTATGCTGTACAAATTTAAATACTTTGAAGGGATGAGATTGAGAGAAGTTCTGACTGTATTCTGTCCCAGCACAGTCTGTGGTATATCTCATGGTTGCATTCAGAGTGAGATGGCTTTGGGCAGTAATGTCCTGTCTTGGGGTATTGTCCAGCAGTGGACCACTGCTGCCACCTTGTGAAGAAGACTTTAACTACTTTCTTCTAGAACAGGGTTGAGATTTATGAACTCTGACGATAATCCCTCAGAGACAGCTTTTTATTTGCAGCTCAAGACCATCTACATTGAGAAGGAGGTGGACTGACAGCGTAGCCTTTTCTTGCTTGTAGAACATCTCATCAGGGTCTTATTAGAAACCTTATAAACAAAGAGTTGGACATGAAAAGTAACTGGCACACTAAATCACAGCTGCAACTGTTTATTGGGAAATAACTTAGCTTTTAGATCAGTAAAATGTAAGCAACTTCCTTGTCTACAGTGATGTCCAAGATTGTACTTTCGTGATCACTTTAAGCAAAGGTAACTGCTGAACACTGCCAAAAATCACTCTTAATAGATAATAATTAGGAATAGAGACTACCAGAAATGAACAAGAAGGGAGGTTTAAAGTAGATATGGAAGTAACCATTCAGATCTAAGAGATTAAATTTCTATGTTTAAGTAATTTAAGAGGTGGTACAAGATATCAGACGTTGAACAAAGCTGAAATAATTTTCATTTAAGATAACAGTAATGCTTTAAATAACAAGAAAAAAACCTCAGTGCATTGGGAAAAGTCTTTTATTCATGGAAAATACCTTCTGTTTTCATTGTTGAGGGTGCTATGCAGTCAGGTTGGAATGCGGATCTGAACTTCGTAGGGAGCCGGGGGACAAAATTTCGTCTTGTCTTTGTTGTACTTAAAAGTCATCTGGATCGGGAAGCAGCTTTGTAAAATTAGCCCAAGTTACTGGCTCTTCAGATTAATGCACAATGAATTCAGTCTAGATTACAAACTTTGTAATGCTATTGTTGCAGTCATTTCACTTGACAACTGCCTTCCCAATAAATAAATGCAATAAAATATACTCACTATACCAAAAATCTCAAAGAGAAAGTAAGATAAAAGTGCTGTAAAAAATTAGGCAGTTTTATTTATTTCCTTGTGTGATTTGCCCTTTTTACTTCTGCAGGAGTTTAGATGAGGCTGTGTTCATGTCTTAAGGTTACTTAAAAACTTTTTGTCTATATTTACATGTAACATTTTTAACTGTTTCTTTCATGGCACAAAATGCTACAAAACAATAACATTGCTGTTAGCAGTGCAATGTTAGACTTGCAACAAAGTATTTTGATGCAGACATTTTTGCAAAACCTAAGAACAAGTTTTCTATAAACGTTCAGGTTTATCTTGAATTTTATGCTTTGAAATCTTTTCAGAGAATGTAAAAAACTATCAACCTCTAAAAGAAAAAAAAGTACTTCATATTAATCATAGAGTGTTTTTAATTAAGAAAAAAACTTTTTTGGTGGTTAACATTCAGCTTTGCTAGTCACCAAGGTTTTTTTCTGGTCAGCAGTAACAGATTAAACATCCAAAATAACAGCACATTCCTTATGACTGAAAAACTAGTGTAGGTACAAAGAAGTTAGGAAATTGTTTATGTGTATAACCTCTTTCTTTCATTTCTGTAATGTGGTAATTAAGCTGCTAACAAGGCACTTCCTTCAAACAATTAGTACTGGAGCTGTTCTTTTTCTTTATTTTCATGGGGTTTTATTTTTTTTTACCTTTTCTGGGTGTAAGACAGAGGATGAAAGAATCATCGTTCTATTCCCTGTGTCTATCCATGTGGCAACTCCCGCAGGAATTTGTCAGACTCCAAGTTAGCCAAGAAGAGTTCCTATGTATGAAAGCACTGTTACTTCTCAACACAAGTAGGTTCTTTTATTTCTTTGTAACATATCACTAGTAAAAGAGTTTTGAGCCATGTTGTTTAACTTGACAATTGCTAAGCTGTCTGGCTTAACAAATGGAAACTTCTTTAGGAAGAATGTTAGTATTCCAAGACGTAAAAATATTTTTTCTAGTGTTTATAAGGAACAAATAATTTGTGATTCATTGTTGGTTTTATTCTGTATAAAGACACTGGGGAAATGTTGGATCCCTTTTGATATATAGCTATACTGTATTACGCATTTTCAAATGAAGTGTGCAGTATTTCTGCCTGGAAGCTCTTCAGCTTAAATGAGTCTACACAGATTAAAAAAAACCTTACAAGCATTAGAAACATATTAAAAAATATTTGATAAATTGTGAGGACTGAGGGCTTTATCTTGGCTAAGAACTTAAAGCATGCTTACTCAAAAGAATTAGGGAGATGGACATGGCAAACAATGCTAACATTTATTCAACTTTTTATAGTTATGAATAGGTCAAGTTTAGCACAGATATAAACAAATGAAAATGTTTTTCTTTGGTTTGTTTCTCTAGAACAAAATCCGTGGTCACTTTTAATCACACACGTCTTTTAAAGAATCCAGCATACAGCTCTATTCCACTTTAAATAGAAAATGTGGTAGTTGATGAAATTATCTTCCAAAACCTTTTCTAAAATACTAAAATGTACTTCTGCTGAGGCCATAATTGTTAGTTAGGAATCCCCAAATAGAAAGTTTTAAAATGGTGCAGGTGCTATTAGAAATGAGAATAAGCACCTCTGAGAAGTGTAACCAGAAGAATGTTGAAGTTTGGTTCTCTACACACTTACGGAGTTGGAGGAGAGAGGTGCAAATCCTGCATAACCTGCCTGTTGATTGTATAAAAGTTCAGTAAAAAATAAAGAACTGAAATTTATTCCCTCTTAAGCTGTACCTGGCTGGTATTTGCATCAGCTCATGCTTAAAAAACCTTGGTCTCAGCAGACCAAGAACTGTAAAGATTAAATTTAGCTCATATGCTCATGAAAATTGCTAAAATAATAGCAAAATACCATACACTTTGCTAAAGCAATAAAAGTAACATGGACAAAAATCCTTCTCTGATGTAACTCCAGTTGCTTTGTTGGAATACGAATGTATTCCTTTTTAAAATGTTTTCCACCTTGTTTTTATCACAAATGAACTCCCTTGTCTATCATCTGAACCTTAGAGGGAAGTTTTAAATTTCAGTGAAATTTAGATACATTTGTGATATTCCTGCTATCCATTTCTGTCCCAGAAAGTTAAAATCAAATTCAAAAAAAATCACAATTGTCCAACCCCTCTCGTTTACAAGTGCATCAGTTTACCAGTATTCATCAAACTACCATTCTTTTTCAACTGCATTGTGCTCAGAAACTCATTTTAAGTTGATATGTTTATATATATGCAAGAAATGAGTTGTTTTTTTAAAAAAAGTATTTCTACCTGTGCTGATGAGTTTTGCTTTTTGTTCTCTCCTGCACTTATTGTCTTATAGGAAAAAACAATTTGTCAGATCTTTGGGAAAAGGAACACACCTAACCGTTGTTGCTGAGACATTTAGTAAACATTTGGTACTGTATAAATATAATTCCACAAAACTATTTTCAAAAAAACATATAACCTCATTGTTGCTATGAAATGTTTTTTAAAACTACTTTTATTTTAGTCATGGTATTCATCTTAATCCTCTTCAAATGTGAAAGGATGGCCATTTCAAGCTTTCATACACTAACAGTAAATCAAGTCTGAACTTTTAGTCTCTCATTCTGTCTTCTGTTTGATTTATTATGTAGATGAACTCGGTTTTACTTTTTATATAATTTTGAAGAAAGAGTAATTTGTATTAAACATAACTAAATGTCAGTCTCGATAAATTTCTAATTCTCAATGGATCCCCAGCCTAACTTTTAACATTATTTTTGATTTTACAGTTTTTCCATTGAGTTTGCTGTGGCTTAGATGTTTTCTTTATATTGTACTTGTGACAGTTTTAAAGCTGTCTCGAAAGCAGAATTAGTCTTTGCAAAAAGTGGACCAACATCTTTATTTTCTGCAATTGTTTCCATTTTACAGGTCCTTATTTACTATATGTAATGTGTTGTAGTTGTAGTAGTGCCTCATAAGTTCTAAATAGGGCTCCGTCTTGCAGAGGCCACATACATCTAGGAACTAATATTATGAATAGTTCAGAAAGGCTATGATTTAAGGATGTAGACCTATGCCAAAAAAGAGTATATAGCAAGCTCAGTTCTAGCTCTAACACTTTCCAGACTTTTGATTTAGAGGAATTGCAAAATCTTGTTGCATAAGATTTTGGCTGGGTTCTTGCCACTGAATAAAAGCATCTGCATTCTTTACGTATGTTCAGGGGGAAGGAACATTTCAGCTACCTGTGTTTAAATTGTATTTGTGCGTGTAAGACATTGTAATTCTTCACTCAAATAAATAACTTAGTGGAACTTTTTGTGATTAGATGGGAATGCAACTGTGCTTTGCAGAATTCTAGGGAAACAGGCCATTCATTGCTGGAAGAGATCTTTTAACTTAATTCACAGGGGAAAGGTAAGGACTTAATTGCTGGTTTAGAGCCATAAATCAAGGATAGCGTCCACCTACCTCTAAATTCCATCAGAATGTCACTTTATATGAAAAAGATTTCATAGATGTCTGTGAATCTGCTGTTAAGACATAACCAGAACCATCCAGACTCTGAAAATTAAGCTGTTCTTTTTCCATGCCATAACTTTTCCCCACTGTGAATGTTCCTGCCTGTATTACTCCTAAGCACATTGCATTCTCCACAAACCAGAACTTGTCCCTTCCATTCAGACCCTTGGCATAGATGTGACAGACACACTTTCAGATACCTCCTTTGTCTGTCTGGACTTGAGAGGCCATATTGAGTCAAACCAAAAGCCTACCTCATCCAGCATTTCATCTCCATCAGCTGCCAAAAGAAAGCTAACATGGCATCCCTAAAAGTTGGACTATTATTAGATATGGTGTTATAAAGATACTTTCTACGGAAGCAGTCACAATTTCTATTCCCTATTTTAATTTTTGTTTGAATTCTGCTTTAGTTAGGAGTCAGACTCTGACTTCCATAGCCCAGCTCAGTGCGTAGACACTTGTCTCTAGAGTAAGCTTGCTGTTTTCTGTATGTGTGTCTCCCTCCTTTCCCCAGACACTGAGTTGTCTGGGGAGACACTGAGCAGGACACAACTTTGGCAAATAGGATCATTTCATCTCTTGGGCAGTCTCCTATGAAACAAGAGACTTCTGCTTAACTCAGGTAGGATAGAGATTTGAACTTCTGCCTTGTCATCTCTCTCTGGGCTTGACGTGAGGGAATTTGAATTTTAATATGTTTACCTGAAGTGTCTCCTTTCCCCTTACATTTTTCTGAGGAGCCAGACATGACTTAGGGAACTGATTTCAGAACAGGGTTTATGATTTCTGAATGGAGAGCAGTGTTGCTCTCAGTGCCAGATTTGCTACCTAATTCTGTTTCAGGGAACGGGTTTAGGTCCGACCCCTGTGCATCTGTCTCCTTTTTGGGTGGCTTCTCTTTTAAGAATTCCATTCCTAGGTATCTAACAATACAGTGCATTGTGCAGGGAGTCAGTACACACATTTATTTATGTCTGTATTGACAAATTGACAAAGCGCTTGAAAGTTAGGTTTTACCATATTGAATACGTCAATGTTGTTATGAACCAAGCTTGAATTTTTTTTAAAAAAGAGATTCAAATGAAGTCTGCTGTGGTCAGATATTAGTCATGGTCTGATAGCAGACTGAAGATGTATTAGATACCTAGATAACTAGTGGACAATTTATTTAACTATGTGAGCTAGTCCCCACGACATTCTTTTAGAGTCCATGGACAAAAATAAACATCTCTACAGCATAATTCGTTTCTTTCTAGGGATACTTCTAAAACAGTGAACGTGCCTTGTGCCCAAGACTTGCCTGATTTTTCCCACTAAAGCTACAGGAAGCTGTGGTAACTAGCCCAGGTGGAGATGCCTATAATGTAACATGTCTAATGTTTGATGAGGTGAATCCTTCCCCTCATGCTTGCTGTCAGAATACAAAATGTTTCATGTGACGTTGTAGTGTGAAATGTCATTGGCAAGAGAGAAAGGAAAGGGGAAGAAATTTAACAACTCTTTTAAAAACAGTATGTTTGAAACAAGACCATGTTTTAATGTATGATTATTATAGCAAAGCAAGGATTTAGATTTGATTGCCAAATGGGAATATTTTTTTGAGTTTCAATTCTTCAAGCTTTTCATTTCTTAGTTGCCTTTGACAACATAAATTATAGGACTTGTGTATTACACTCTACCGTGTCAAGGAAAGTAGAGTCTAGAGCTTACGCCTGTTTCCTTACAATGCTACCAACACTTATCATCAGTGATTAAATATGGTCTTACCACTAGCAGTCACTAACAAGTTTGTTTCTCAATGTTCTCTCCATGCCCTCATTTTGGTCCTCATGGTTGACCATTACAAGAAGAGTGAGTTCAACCATTTGCTCTCCTTGCTGATTCCTCTAAAAAGCTGTTCACATTTAAGACTCTGGTAGTGCATCTGTTCTGTTAAGTGAAAGAGGTCCAAAGAGGAGGCCTGAGCCCTGGGTGCGTTACTGGCTACACTACTTCAGAGTTGTTAGTTCATTCCTTGACTCCATTTGGAAGCACTCCAACTAGATCTCTCTGACATAAATCTGCCATGAAGAGGGCTGACCCTCAGCAGTGTAAACATGAGCCAGTCCGTAACATCTTTCCTCAAGGCCAGGAATGGTTCTTTTGTCCATCTTCTTTTCAGTAGACAGGTGTAGCCCAAGCTTAAGGCTATTTCTAGACATCAGCAATTAGCAGAACCGATTGATTGTTGCTGGTGTATCCTTTTAACTAATTGTATCACTGTTTCCGGAGTAACTGTTGAACAGGAGAAAGTACCTGGTGTGTAATAATGAATTGCACTGCACAGCATGAAATACTATAAATTGTTCCTGTACTTTAAGTTTCTCTCATTGCCTTCAGAATAAATTGCAACACAAATGTTACTTTCTTTTTAGTTCCCTTGGAAGGTCTAAGAAGTCAAAGTCAGTTCGATGAGATGAGAACGAGTTACATTAGAGAATTGGTGAAGGCAATTGGTTTGCGCCAGAAAGGTGTTGTGGCCAACTCACAACGTTTCTATCAACTTACAAAATTGATGGATTCCATGCATGATGTAAGTTTACTTGTTCATGTGTTTTGCTTTTTATGTAAGAGGGAACCAGTATTTCTTAAAAGTAATTATTGGAAAGTGGCTAGCCAGCATTTCTAAACAACAAAAGAAAAACCCCTACATTTTTCCTTTAGTGTGTATATTTGTGTGAATAGATAGCTATATATTCAGCATCAATACATATTGTTTATATATTATATGGTATACAAGAATTGAGAAACATGCATTTGAATGCTACCATTTTGTTTCATTATTTCTGTAATGTAACTAGTACAGTTATGGGTTTTGGTAGGAAATGGCGTGTATGTGTGTGTGCGTGTGTATACACGTTCATGAAAATATTTTAAAAATGCAAAGAACAGGCAATTCAAGTTACAAAGTCAGACTACTAAGAATTAGAGAAAGACAACCAAGACCAGCTTTGCATTCTTAATTCAACTACTTTTATGTGTATATTCTATGCCATTTTTTTGGTATCTGTCTATATTTGGGAATTGAATACTCTTTGAGAACTCTAGTGGTGATATCATAGAGATTCGTAAGTGTCTTAAAAGATGCAGCTGAATCCTTTCCACATCTCTGAGAATCCAGCATATGTCCTATTGTCTTAACATCATTAAAATTGAGAAATGATATTTCGTATAAACCTTTGCCCACGTCAGTATTGTTTTGTAATGTCTTGTGTATCTCTGCAAGAGAGGCAAAAAGCAGAGGTACAGGGCTGTTTTAGCAGGTGCTGGGGAAGTGGCACTAAGATGGTTTAGGAAGAGCACTTTTGAGTTCCGTGTTGGTTGTAAGGAGGTCACAGGGAGTTCAGGGAAGGATGGGGTCTTTGTGTGTTTGTATTCTTCTGCACTCAGCAAATCTGCATTTTATTTTAATTGCTTGTGAATAAATTCATTTATTCATCTAAAACCTTTCATTGTCACTAGTTCCCCCTTCTGATTGTGAAGAAAAACTCTCTGAGGATCCCATTTATGGTAGTTAAGAGAGGTAACAATTGATAATGATGCAGTTCACCAGGTGGTCTGGAGTCTTTTGATCGACTGCACAAACCTCTCCATCTGCTTCTGCTATGCACAGAACTCACATTCGCCATTTAGCTATTACACCATCTCAGATACCAGCAAAAGGAGAATGAGACAAGTACGAAAAGCATCCTTACAGGTGAAGGTAGACAATAGAAAATTCTGAACGGAGGTTATGGAGCTTAACTTTAAGTATTGACTGGTAGACAGACTGCAGTCGTAACTTGGGACTGCCAGTGCTAAACCCTTCCCTGGAGTTCAGTCAGTCACCTTTTATTTGCAAAAACAAGTCCTGGCCAGTATACTGGCCTTCCATGCTCAAGGAATGTGTTTGGATCAGTCTTGCTTGGGATAAAAGGTTTTCCTGCCTTATCTGGAGTAGTAATTTGCAATCCGAGCATGACAGCATCCAGCAGCCTCCAGAGGAAAACTCTTTGAGTATTCGGCTGTAGAGTCAATCTCTTAATTTCAAATGCTTAAAGTAAAATAGCCTTAGTGGTAGTGAGTGAGTGAGGCTTGCTGCAAAATACCCAGCAAAGTGATGGCTAGGGTAATATTTGGTCCATGGAGTTATCTTCATTCCAGTCCTTATTTCAGCTCAGGCTGATAAGGGGATGAGAGATACAAGGAAAAGATAGATCACCACACTGGAGAGACTGTGTGTTGTTAAAGCCTCAGGTAGCAGAAATAGTGTTATATTTGACGACAAAAAGGTCACAGGCCTTAAAGAAAAACTTCTATGCAATTGGAACTTCTCAGAGAAGATAGAAGAGGCGAAACAGTCACATATACTGAGCAGTTGCTTTCATGGGATGAGGGCCTATGGAGTTTAATGTTTGCAGCGTACCCAGATACGATCATAATCAGAACCATGGAAAAACTCGCAAGTAAATAGTAAATGCCATCCCTCAGAGAGTGTTGGAATAGCATATAGTGAACAAGGCAGTGAGACGTGTGTTGAATGTGAGAATGAACTGGAAGACTGAATACTTGTTTAGTCATTGCCATTGTTAATGGTGCGTGTCATGAGCAAGGATGATACCACTTTATAATATTAGTAAGGTGCTGTTTTTATATGACATGTCATTTACCTATATGTATGATTTTTGCTGTGGGAGGATATTTTAATGGGGAATGGCAAGTACCCTCATTAGTGATTGAAGGTATGACAGAGGAAGGTATATAATGATGTCAGCTGATGGATGTATGAGATAAGTGATTGACAGCATGTTTATCTGGCTGCATTACTGTTAGCCTGATTTATCGTGTTTGTATTTTATTAAATCCAGCTAGTGAAGCAGCTCCATCTCTTCTGTTTGAACACATTTCTCCAGTCCCGTGCACTGAGTGTGGAATTCCCCGAGATGATGTCAGAGGTGATTGCTGCCCAGCTGCCCAAGATTCTGGCAGGGATGGTGAAACCACTTCTCTTTCACAAAAAGTGAAATGTCTTTTCTCATATCATAGAGATGATTTCTGGGTCATTTTTTGTTTGTTTATTTTGGTCAAGATTTTGCAATGCCAGGGTTTCAGTATATTTGTCATACTTACCCTGCCTACTGCTTTACACTTGTAACATACACAAGCCATTTAAGCTTGATGTACATATTGTGAGTTCCTGATTCCTTAACTGCAAAAATCACAACAGTCATAAGAAATGTTTTGTAAACTTGCCTAGGTTGCTTTTTAGATATGCATAAGAATGACAATGAATAGAGTTTTCAGATTTCTAAGAACAGTTATCTTATACATTTTTCTTACATATTACACACTCTGAAATTTCTGATATGACATGGTGTAAACTTTTTACTTTAGTACATTTTGTGCATGGGTACATGTGGGCATGTGCATAATACAAGATTTTGGAGGAATTAAAATAAATATTGCCCACATTTTCTCATGGATATTTCACTTTTTATTAACTAGTCTGCCTCACAGAAATGTCCTTTCAAAGTCAACTGTCCAGGATTAAGTAGACGTCACTGCAATACCTTCATGAATAACTAAAGTGCTAGGCACAAAGTGTACATTCATATTCTTGTCTGTGCTCATACTGCATTGAAACTCTGAGTTCAGTATACTGTTTTCTGCACCACTCAGTGCAGCTCTCCTTCAGAAATCAGAAAGCTTAGGAAAATTTCAGTGTATATTATACCAGAAGTAACATGTATGCATATCCACTAAGCTTTGGTTTGTGTTCTTTTCCTTAAAAGTTCAGCACTTCTTAAAGCTAAAGCACTGTGCTATAATCTTAAATTCATCAACTTTGAAATTCTCTGTTTCAGAAGCTTTAAATAGAGATGTTTTCACTGACTACAACTCTTAATATAAATCTTAATGTTTTGAATTCCAGTGCTGAATACTCAGCCAGCCATTAACATCAAATTACAGTGCGATTAAATGCAAAAAGAAATGGAAAATATGACTACAAGCATTTTGATACACATCAGGCTCATTTCAGTACTATTTAGTGGAGCTACATATTTTATATTTTAAAGGCATGCCATTATAATTGGAGTAACTATAAAAGAGGAATTGAACTACATTAGCTTTATACATTAAAGAAGAATGTCATGTTTTACCATGGAAATGAATATTTGACTGAAAAAATAGAATGTGGTGGTGTTTGTTCCTTTGATACGGATGTGAAGCAGCTCATACATTTAAGGCAGTGAATTGTTGATATATTCAAACAACAGAGAAATGGATAAAGCCCAAGAATCTGTGAGTCTATTAAAATATGACAGATTTTTCTAGTCACTAAAAATGATACTCAAATTCTCTATCAGTGTAGAAAATGGTGAGTCTTACTTGGGTACTTGCTGGCCATACGGTTTTGCTCTTCCCCATTACATGTTGGATGCATCCCTTGTGTGACAGCATCCTGTTGATGGTGTGGAGCTTGGTCTGTACAGACATATCCTTGTGAACAAAGGCCCATGGGAACATGAGTTCAATATCCCTGGTTAAATCAGGGTGCCCCTCATTAAAAGTATAAGTGATGTTACTTGTTCATAAAAATTACGTCCTGATTCTTGAAAAAAATATGGGCAACTAACAACTAAAGGTAGATCTAAAGGTAGCCTTACGATTTCTCATTTCCTAAAGCCAGTGAAGAAGCAGCTACATTACGACTGGGGATAAAAATGTTTTTGAGATACCCACATAGTAGTACAAAACCCACTAGAGTTGGTGGAAAGTTGTGGCGCTGGATAAAATGGTATAAGCAGACTTTTGTGTTAGTTGGCTAGGTTCGTCATTTCTAACTCCCCAGAGACAAGCAATTTCCTTCATATTCAATATCAGTCTAACTTTAACTGTGATCCTTAAAGCAATTATGTTTTAATAAATAACACAAAATTCTTCATTTCTACATATTGAAGTTTTGTTTTCTTTATTTTCTGTTGTATTTGCATTCAGTAATTATGGAGCTTAGTAAAAAAGTCCATTTCAACCATTCCACTTCTGTGTAACAACATTTTCATGCATTCTTTGGGAATTTAAGCATTGCCGTGTGATTTACCATTGAATGAACAGACTGTCTATGTTACTGGTCAGATTAAACTGTTAACAGAAACTTCCCACACTAAAAATTATTCCTCAACACCATAATTCTGAAATTAGAAAACGGAGCAGGCAGTATATTTGCCTTAGGAATGCCACGGATCAGCCTACATCTGCCTTTTACTCAATCCCTAAAATTGTTCCGAGCTGCTGCCATGTCACTGTGTCCCATAAATAGGGCAAATTAGTCTGAAATGCTCTGCCTTTGTCTCAAAGGCATAATCAAAAAGGAAGAAGGGACATCTTTTGGGAATAAATAACAAAGGTTAAAAACATTTCAAATTGTATTTCTTAAAGAGCTCTAACTCACAGAAGAAAATTCCCAGAACTTCATGGTCATGGTAAATGCAGTACAGAAGACTGAACAAGTTTGGCTAACTGTGGCTGCTGTATGAATTTGAAAGTCCTGTGTTTGTTACGTGATTGTCTGAAGTTCAAAAAAAAACTGTTTTAATTTGAGAACTTCCAGCTTTGAGCCCAGTTTATAAAATTGCCTTCAGTCTCCATTTTGTTACCATCATGTGCTCTGGATTACACAGACACCATGAACACTGATCAAAATACAAGATTGCTTCCTTCCCAATGGAAATCTCATGTACTGTGACTTTTCAGCACTGTGGCAATGTCCAGAGAGCCATCAGCAAACTAGTTTTTTCTTTGAGTGTTTAAGAGAGTACGAGGCTTTTTAGTTGTCTATATTTCTCTGCATTAATACTTGTTTAAAGATTAAGGCATTTTTTGACCTGAGCTTTACAAATAGGTGTAAATAAAACATCTCATAGTGCTTCTCAATATACTGAACAAGACGTAACAATGCTGGATCTTCTTACGTTGCATTTGCACACTAGAAATAAGGTTTCAGCAGATGGACTTTTTTGTTTTCTGACATTTCGGATGTGCCTGATTACATTTTAAAGGTGTGAGACCTGTTGTACTAATTAGAAAGCTTGCCATCTTCTGCAGATTGCAGACATAACTTTCTATCTGAACAATCACTAAAAGTTCTTCATCATACACTAAATAATGCAAGCTATGCCTGAAGCTAAGCCTCGCTTATTCTGTACAGTTTAGGTATTTTTGACCCAAGGCCTTTAGCATTGCCTTCTGCTACTACTTCAGTGAAGCAAACAAACCAACCAACCCATGAAGTCAGCTGTTTCTTTTGATCTCTACTGCCGTTATTCAGCTTTTTAGAGGCATCACGTTAACAGTTTTGAAGACTGTTTGGGGGCTGAAGTGCCTGGCTGTGGCAGCCCAGCTGTGTTCGGAGAGCTGTGAAAGTGCCGTGCAGAGAAGAGGAGACCTTCAGCCCTGGCAAGCTGTCCTGCTCTCTCACACCAAGTTGCTTCACAGTTGTACTTGCTGTGCTCGAAGAATTATTGAGTGCACTCTCAGCAAGTTTACTGACAACACCAAGCTGGATATGTTGCAGTCAACACACCTGAGGGAGGTGATGCCACCCAGAGGGACTTGGACAGGCTGGAGAGGTGGGCCTGTGCGAACCTCATGTTCAGAAAGGCCAAGTGCAAGGTCCTGCACATGG